ATGATGAGTTGATCAGATACTGTTTTTCACCTTGTCGCGAGTTTATAAATTCTCTAAATATTGAACTATCCTCTAGCGTGCCCAGATTAATATCTGAAAAGTAGTAATTGTAGGGAAATGACAAATAACGATAATAATACTGCAATAAAATTATTTGTGAGCGAAAATACACCAACTGGCTTGAGTCGTGCTAGGCACTGTCCTAAGAAACTATTTCAGCAATGTGAAATGTTTCCCCTGAATTAAATAAACCTACCTCTATTTTATTTAGAGGATACAGGAATCAGCAAAATTAAATATACCAGCAAGTTGCTAGAAGAAATAAATAAAGTATCTATTGAAGATAGAAAAAAAAATGGAGAGATAAGAAGAACATTGGAATGAAAGAAAGAGAGCAAATAGTGATTTTAAGCTAATGATTAGCTTTTCTCTTGTTGTTTGATGATTGAAGAATGATGGCCTAATCATGGCTATTTATAGGCCTAAGGAAAGCTTCTTATATTGTCAAATATTTCATTGCATGAAAGAGGATTGTCACTTGTTTATGGCTTAGCCATTTAGCTACATATCTTCATGCAAAGTGCCACATGGTGGGTATTCATAGCCACTTGGCTTAGTAGAGACATTTGTCACACAATCTTCTAAATCAATGCCACATGTAAAAAATCTTTTGACACATTACCAATAATTATCAACAATCCCCCACATCAAAAAACTTTTTTTGTTTAGGAATACGGAGTAGGAAAGAGTAAGACTTGCTGGATTTGCATGGTCCAAATGTAATAGGTTTGGTGTCTTCTGGACTATGAACCAAACTTAGACCAATAAAATTAAACTTACAGAATTACTGGTGAAATATAATATTTCTATGAACCAATAATTCTTATTGAAAGTCAGAGATTTTATCAATCACATTTTGTTGCTGTTCAACACGGTTTTGCGCCCAATAGGCCATGCGGGTGCCTGGTTATTCATGAGAGCTCTAGAAACTAGGCCAAAATCTCATAGGAGCGGCCCACTCCACTCTCATATAGGTGAATTCATCAAGTGTATACTGCTTTTAAACACACCATCCATAAAGGACTATGAATTTCATTAAGAGTTATAACTCAGCCTCTCAATTAGTAGCAGTCAAGCACTCTCTTTTAGTGCATCAGTGCCAATATTGACTTGTTATTACCCATATGAACCTACTTCATGGGATCTCCAATCACATAGGTTGGATTACCATCTCTATTGACAACATGTCGGCCTTAACCCCATCTCTTTTGAGGTTTGAAGAATTAATTTTCTTCCCACGGGTTTAGTCAGAGGATCGGCCAAATTAACTTCTGACTTCACATAATCAATGGAAATTATTCCATCTCTCAGCAGCTGCTTTATGACATCATGTCTCAATTTCATGTGTCTACTTTTACAATTATAAGATTTGTTCTTTGCTATGGCTATTGCCGCATGGCAATCACAATGTATAGACACTGGAGGCAATACATCCTTTATTAAAGGGATATTAGCTAAGAAGTTTCTTAGCCACTCAGCCTCAGAACCAGCTAACTCCAGAGCTACAAACTCTGATTCCATAGTCGATCTAGCAATGATCGTCTGTTTAGCTGATTTCCAAGATATTGCACCACCACCAAGGGTGAATACATAACCACTAGTGGATTTTGTCTCATCTGAATCAGAGATCCAGTTTGCATCACTGTACCCTTCTAAAGTAGAAGGAAATCCACTATATAGGATACCATAATTCATGGTTCCTTTCAAATATTTCATTAGTCTATCTAATGCAGACCAATGCTCTCTGTTGGGATTATGAGTATATCTACTCAGTCTACACACAGCATAAGCTATATCAGGCCTTGTAAAATTCATTAAATGCATCAGACTCCCAATAATCTGAGCATATTTAGACTGAGCAACTGGATCACTATTATTCTTTTTCAACTGAGAGTTAGCATCAAAAGGAGTGCTCACAAATATGACATTAAAATATTCAAACTTCTTAAGAAGTCTCTCAACATAATGTTCTTGTGACAACATTATTCCATCTTCACTCCTTATAACTTTAACTACCAATATTGTATTTATTTTACCCAGATCTTTCATATCAAAATTAGAAGACAAAAATAATTTAGTACTTTGCACAATATTTAAACTTGTACCAAATATAAGCATGTCATCAACATATAGACATATTATCACATAATCATTGTCTACCACTTTAGTATAAACACATTTATCCACCTCAAATGAAGAAAAATCGTCTCTCAGTAAGACTTATTCAAATTTCTCATACCACTGCTTAGGAGCTTGTTTAAGGCCATAAAGAGATTTAATTAATTTACAAACTTTATTTTCTTGTCAAGGAATGACACGGCCTTTAGGTTGAACCATATAAATCTCTTCTTCTAAATCACCATTTAGAAAAGCAGGTTTCACATCCATTTGGTGGATAAAAAGCTTACGGATTGAAGCTAAGGCAATTAAAATTCGAATAGAAGAAATTCTAGTCACTGGTGCAAATGTATCAAAATAGTCTATATTTTGTTTTTGAGAAAAACTTTTTGCTACTAACCGAGCTTTATATTTATCTAAAGATCCATCAGGATTAAATATCTTTTTGAAAATCCATTTACAACCAATAGGTTTTGCACCAGGAGGTAAGTCAGTTAAAATCCATGTATTATTTTTCATAATAGAATCAATTTCAACTTTTATTGCCTCTTTCCAATATTTAGCATCTGAAGATATAGCTTCAAAATAATTTGATGGTTCATTATCGACAAGAAAAGTTTGAAAATCATTTCCATAAGGAAAATATTCTTTCCTAGGCCTTTTGCTCCTTCTCAGCTCCTTATTTGAGATAATTTCATTATTTGTTTCAACAGGTGTATGAGAAATTTTATCAGATAATGGATAAATATATTCAAAGAACTCAACATTCTTTGTCTCAATTATAGTATTGCAATCAAGCACATCACTTTTTAAAACAAGAAATCTATATGCAGCACTATGTTCAGCATATCCAATTAGCATGCAATCAACAGTTTTAGAACCTATTTTTCTCTTTTTAGGTTCGGGCAAAAGAACTTTAGCAAGGCACCCCCACACTTTTAAATATTTCAAGTTAGGTTTATAACCCTTCCACAATTCATACGGAGTTTTGCCAGTTCTTCTATGTGGTATTCTATTTTGTAAGTGACGTGCAGATAAAATAGTTTCACCCCACAAGTTATTAGGAGCACTAGAACTAACTAACATGGAGTTCATTATCTCTTTCAATGTTCTATTTTTCCTTTCAACTACTCCATTTGACTCAGATGAATAAGGCGGAGTTATTTCATGAATAATTTTATTATTTAAACAAAATTCATTTAAAGATAAATATTCTCTACCTCTATCTGATCCAATTCTCTTGATTTTTCTACTAAGTTGATTTTCAACCTCAGTTTTATAAGAAATAAAAGCATTAAATGCATCATCTTTATTTCTAAGCAAATACAGCTTAGTATATCTAGAAAAATCATCAATAAACGTCACATAATAACTTTTACCACCTCTAGTCATAGTCTGCTTTAAATCGCCTATATCAGTGTGAAGTAAAGATAACAATTCTGTTTCTCTATTTACAGAAAAACAAGTCTTTCTTGTACTTTTAGCTTCAGCACATATTTCACACTTATTAATATTACTTGAGTCAAAACTAGATATTATTAAAACGACTGCATTTTCTTAATATACGCGACATTAACATGTCCTAGTCTAGCATGCCACAAAGAAATTGATTCAACCATATAAGCAGAAGAAGATGCATTTTCATTGCTAGTATCAGAAATATTAAGCACAAATAAACCATAGTTACAATATCCATTACCCACAAAAATATCATTTTTGGTTAACACGACCTCATTATTTTCAAATAAAACCTTCACTCCAACTTTTCCTAATAACCCCACAGATACCAAATTGGTTTGGATATTAGGAACATGCAATACATCACGCAATGCTAGAGTTTTACCAGATGTGAGTTTGAGAAGAATTTTTCCTTTCCAAAGAACACGAGTTGTTCTTGAGTCACCAAGATAAATAGTTTCTTCTCCTTCCTTAACTTGGGTGTAAGACAAAAATTCATTTTTGTTTGCACAAATGTGCCTAGTAGCACCAGAGTCTATCACCCAATCTCTCACATTGGCCACATTATTTATTTGGGAAATGACCGCAATAATTATATTATCCGCTTTAGTCAAATTTAATTTTGACTTAGCGAGATTATCATTTATCTCAACTCTTCTATTGCATTGAGGTGCATTTTTCTTGAAGGTTTTAATATTAGCATTAGATATGTAACCATGTTTATTTACATACCTGTGTTTTGACATTAGTATCTGCCAAGGTTGTGGATGCAATAACGTATTTGCAACACCATGGATATATGGCAGGACAGCTGGAACAGTAGCAGTAGAGACAACACCAAAATTGGTAGCACCATCGAAAATTTCCGTAGTAGTATTACTTGCCATAGTTTCTTAGATTGCAGGGAAATGACACCGAAAAATAACGATAATAATACTACATTAAAATTATTTGTGAGCGGAAATACACGAACTGGCTTGAGTCGTGCTAGGCACCATCCTAAGAAACTATTTCAGCAATGTAAAATGTTTTCCCTGAATTAAACAAGCATACCTCTATTTTATTTAGAGGATACGGGAATCAGCAAAATTGAATATAGCAAGTTGCTAGAAGAAATAAATAAAGTATCTATTGAAGATAGAAAAAAAAATGGAGAGATAAGAAGAACATTGGAACGAAAGAAAGAGAGCAAATAGTGATTTTAAGCTAATGATTAGCTTTTCTTTTGTTGTTTGATGATTGAAGAATGATGGCCTAATCATGGCTATTTATAGGCCTAAGGAAAGCTTCTTATATTGCCAAATATTTCATTGCATGAAAGAGGATTGTCACTTGTTTATGGCTTAGCCATTTAGCTACATATCTTCATGCAAAGTGTCACGTGGTGGATATTCATAGCCACTTGGCTTAGTAGAGACATTTGTTACACAATGCCACATGTAAAAAATCTTCTGACACATTACCAATAATTATCAACAGTAATATTGTAGAAATAATTTTGTGCATAGGAGATTTGGGGTGAATGTCTTATGCACAATATATAAGAGTCTTGCCAAATACACGTACACAAATCCATAGTAACTTTACTATTTAATGTTTTTTCGTTTCTTAGAGATAGAGACTCATTAACGACGAGTCATGGACACAGAAGAAGCAACACTTGTATCAGGGATGAAGCCTAAGCAAGCCAGTACGCCATTCTTGTATGGCAAGAAAGTCTTCCTCTTCATCTCCTCCGAGAATGCCCTATTCAACGTGTAATGCAACTCATGAGCCGAAACCTCCCTCCTCCTCAAGGAGCTCGATACCGATGACGATCCAACACTACTACCAGTTGATCTAAAGCTTGAAGTCTCCACATCCTCTTTACTGCGAGTTTTCTTCAAAAACTTGTTTAACTGATCCTTGTTACTTGCTCTACCCTCTGACGCGCTTCTGAATAGAAACAAGTCTTTCAGCTTCCATTTTCTGTACCATAGTGTTATCATCGATGAAAATGAAGAAGAAGATATGCTTGTATTTTCTTGCTTGCTTTCACTATCAAACAGTAGATCGGAAGCTCTGAAAGGAGATAAAGATCTTGTCTTTTTGTGCCTTGAAGAAGTTGTAGAGTGCTGAGTTCTTTCTCTACCAGGGCGATCATTTTCTGTTCGACTACTCTGCTCTAAGGCTGCTGCAAATGGATCTAATTCTTTCTTCTTGTATCGGGGAGATAAAGCTTGCTTGAACTTTTTCTTTGGAGATTTCGGCGAATCAAATGGTTTGCCTTCATACTGTAACCTTGGTGGTGGCTTCAATTTCAATGGCTTGATTTTTCCACCATCAAAAAGCTCATCAGCAGCTGATACAGAACTTCTCTCCAACTGACCACTAAAATCAAAAGCAAAATCATCATCCTCATCACGGGTTGCTCTTGATTTTGGAATTCCAGGCTTTTCCTCCCAATTGAATGGAACTTCACCACTGGTTGTTCTTAGGGCATCGCCACCGTGGAGGTGATTGAATCCGTCGTAGAGGGCGGAGACACGGGCAGGGCTAGTAGGGGCGCTGAGAAAATAATTGCCAAACCGTTGAGGGCTTGAAGAAGCACTTATATAGGGAGTAGTACAAGCACTATCGAAGTTGAAGTCCAGTGTAGGTGAAGCTATCATCACTTCCATCTCCATTTTTAGCAAAATTTATAATTAGCTGCTTTTGGTATGGAGAGAAAAGGGGGAAACTCGGCGAGCGCAGTTTCAGAAAAAAGGAGGAGGGTAATGATGATATAAGCAAAAGCAGGGGAGAGGAGTAGAATTGGAAAGAGAAAGGAAAGTGATGATTTATTTGACCATAGGGGAGCAAATGGCAATGGCAGGCAGAGTTGTAGCCGCCTTTGGTTTCTTGTTTGTTTTTATGGACTTTTCTTTTCGTTCTTGGTCTATATTTTGACCGGGACATCCCAACAACTGCTATTCTATGAAATGCCGACATTGTCCTCTTCAATACTAAAAAATTGTTCAGAATTTTAAATTGGTCCATATAAAGTATAAACTGCACTTCACAGTTGATTTTATTAGCATAATTCGGCATAAAATAAGTTCTATACTATTTAGTTGATCGCATCAAAAAGTAATTGTTGCATAATTAATGCAGCAATTAGTGGACCGCATAAGAAACAAATTTCTTCCTGACTAATGCAGCGTTTGCTTGCAGTATTAAATTACACGGATTAACAATTGATGCATCATTATATTTTATTCACCGCATTAACGATTGATGTATCATTAATCACTTCAGAAATAATTTACTATTAATTATTATTTTTCACATAAATAATTCATGCACTAATATAATTCTCTTTTAACTAGTACGTGAACTAAATAATTGGTTTACTTTACAATATCTAAAAAAAAGTTAATTGTATGTATCTGAAATGTTTACAATTATATATTTTAGTTTATATACACACGGCGTATAGAGTAAGACAACAATGGGTTGTTTATGATATATATGGTCCACATGTTAGATATGCAAGAATTATAAAATATGAATTACTATATAGGGTGTTGTTTATGCGGGAATAATAATAAAAGAATTGTTATGCATATGGATCATTAGAGAAATGGATTACTATGCAGGGAATTACTTAATTCAAGGACAATTTTATATTTAAATATTTAGTCCATGTATAAAACTAATTTGGTAAGATGTATTACAGAAATAATATATATATATATATATATATATATATATATATATATTAGCTTTGGTATTATTAATTTTTTAGTAGTATTTTTTAATTTATATATAACTAATACATTTATTTGTTATTCATCATATTCAGTGTTATTCTCATACATAGCAAATCATGACATTAGCAATACATAATATGTAATGATAAAAGGGAGAAGGGGCAAAATTGCCCCTCTACTATTGTTTATTGGTTACTTGTGCCACCCATTATACTTTTCGACCATTTTCGTCCCTGCCGTTAATGAAGTTTGAAAAAATGCCCCTAACCCTAACGTTTTGACATTGTGGCAGCTGACCACATCAATTTTATCCATGTCAGCTGCCATGTCATTGGAACCCGCCGTCTGTCATTGGAGGCGGTCACTGGCATCTGCGTTTTCATGAACTCTCAGCCACCAAATTGCTTATCTTTTACATGGATTAGTGCACCATTATCTGACTTGTTGAACTATTTGTTTTTTTTGGCAGCCCAAAATTTTGACAGAGAGCTCCCAAATCGTCACCAACTGACCTGAGAATTTAGCTACGACCCCTCAACAATCATCAAAACAAAACCTCATTACTCAATTAAACCAAACAACAACCAGATCAAAAAGCCCATTAATGTTTTCAAGCTTCACCAAAAAACCCTCCAATGGAGTTTTTAGCTCCTTCTCTAATGTTTCAAGTAATCAAGTAGTTCACATTCAGGATTTTTAGCTATGAAACGCTGCCAGCTCTTCAAAATTTCAGATCCAACCTCTTCTTCTTTATACATCGGCATCTTCAAATCGACAAAACTCAAAAGCTCAATCGGCCTTCAATAGCGTTTTCAGACCTTCTACGGTATTTAAAATTACATTTTAGATTTAAAACTACAACATCAATACTAATATATAGTATATTTCTGTATATAATATCTCAAGCCCAATCCATCACCTTAGAATCCATTTGCTACAGTCACATCCTCCTATTAAAAAATATAAATTTTCACCATTAAAAGACCATAAAGATCAAAACTTATCTTATATTTCTGGAAAAAACAAAAGATTTTAACTTTGTTGAAAATAAAAAAGCAGAACATATAACAAAAGTTCAATTTTGAACTTACCAACTATGTGAAAACAAGTCTTTTTTCTGTTTCTTTAGTTAAGCACTTGCGGCCTTAAGAGTAAATCGATTCTTTGTTTGGTGTTTTGAAATGATCATAGAGTGCGAGGAGCAGTGGTTTTTGGATGGGGATAATGGCTATTGGTAAAGTTGGAAGGCGAGGGAGTGTGAAGAAGAAGAAGATGATAGTATTTTAATAAGAAAAGGAGTGGGTTAATTAATGACTTGGCAGCTGACATGGCAGCTGACATGGATAAACTTGATATGGTCAGCTGCCACAGTGTCAAAACGTTAGGGTTAGGGGTATTTTTTCAAACTTCATTAACGGTAGGGACGAAAATGGCCGAAAAGTGTAACGGGTGGCACAAGTAACCAATAAACAATAGCAGAGGGGCAATTTTGACCATTTTCCCAAGATAAAATTGTCCTTTTAAAACCTTTACCAAATCCTTTTCAAAAAATATAAAGGTTATTTTTGTAAACAAATAATTTTTGTAAGAAATTATGCAGTGCTCGTTATTTTTAATACACCAAACTAAACAATCGATAAGAAATAATCTAAGCATAACTAATCACAACATTACGAATACACCCTATTTTGTATTATACTCTTACGCCCTACCTAATGATGCTTTATTCTTATTAGTTATACATCTTATTCAATACTATTCCTATACATAGCAAACCTTGTTGTCAGAAATACTATGATTATTAATATATGTATAAGCATGTATAAAGATAAAATTATCCTTTCTAAACTTTTAATACACCAAACTAAATACCCCCTCTATTTCAAATATATGACCATATTTGACTGGGCACGAAATTTAAGAAAAATAGAAAGAGTTTTGATCATGTCGTGCAAAATGAGGCATATATATTGTGTGTGGTTATAAATCATAAAAGTAAATTTATTCTAAATATGATAAAGGGACATTCTTTTTTATATATTAATCCTTACCTTACTAATACACTATATTCTGTACTATACTTATACACCATCAAACGATCATTTAAAATGTTCGGACAAGCAGACTAAAAGCTACAGTCGCCGGCCCCTACACCTATGATAGAGCATGTGTATAGAGGGCTATATATCCGTCGAACTTGAGTGCTATGGATCATCATCCGAGGAAGTTCAGAATACGTTTGTGATTTCACTGTTTGATTTGAATTGCTGATGTAACTAGTAATAATTTATAAAGTTTAAATTAAAGAAGGATGACAAGTTCACAATGTGATGATTAGAAAAAAGCAGATGCGACATCGATTTAGATTTTTATTTCCGTTTACTGCTCTATTCCCTGTAGGCGTCTCGACATAAGTTCCAAGATTTTTTTTTTAAATTTGAAATTTCATTAAAATTTAATTTGAAGATGAAGTTGTATTTGGATATAATTTTTGTAATATATTTAACTGTATTTTCTCGTAAAAGTAAAATTTTCAGAACCAAACATTATTTTGGAAAAAAAGAAAAAATTTCTTATGTCAAATGAGCTCTTAATTCTATTTTAAAGTGGAATATCTCGGATGACATAAACATAATCTTTCTCAATCTAAAAACTAACAAGAAGGCAGGAAAACAACACAAAAGGAGCACATGCTGATAATGATGTGGAGCAGGCATTATTGGCGATAACAGGGGATAAATCATGTGGATCTGCCCAACTAAGTACCAAATGTAGTATGCATACAACCGACCCTATGTATTCTATAAGTATCATGAATAACCCTGGAAAGGAAGACACAAGAATTATTAATGATACTCACGTGATAAAAATCTGTACAAAACATGAATACATCTGAATACACAATAATAATAATAATAATAATAATAATAATAATAATAATAATAATAATAATAATAATAATAATAGAGTTTATGCCTAGATGCAGGTAAAGCTCATGGTTCACATAGAGAAGATATGCACGAAGATTAAACAGGATAACAGTTCAGCATATAGAGGAGATATGCGTAAAGGCAAGTCAAATTACACAGAGAAAGAAAAATCAAGGAGAAATGTACTATGTATAATTTCACTAACAGGAATGGCATATAGAGAAAATATGCATAAAGAGGCATGTATAAAAGTACGAAACCAACATATAGAGGAGATATGTAGTAAAATCATGTATACACCCAAGGAATTTGCATATAGAGAAGATATATAAAGACCCAACACTGATCAGTTTTTCACAACGGCGTGTACTTCATCAAGTAGAGACATGAGAGGACGATCCATGGGATGCACTACTAAAAATTTGCTTAAAACTGTCAAAAAAACCGATCAATTTTGGTCAATAATGGCCAATAACTGACCAAATCACGACCAATTACGTGTGATCAATAATTTAAAGGTCGGTAGAGCATATCGACCAAAGTCGGTTGGAAATTACCGACGAACATCGGTCGGTATGCTCTACACGACCATCTCACAATATAATTGACTAACTGATCAATATTGGTCGGAATATTCGTTTAATAATTTAACAGTACCGACCAACGTTGGTTGGCAGCTAACTTATCGACCAAAGTTGGTCGGTAATATTGAAGTTCTGGGAATTCAATGTGCACTAACCGACCAACAGCAGTCGGTATTTTGCAATTTAAATTTTTGTTAATTACCGACCGAGGTCGGTCGGTTTTCTGGGAATATTTTTTGCAGAAAGGGCCTGTTTTTGTAGCTACACCACCTGCCAAATAAAAATATATATTTTCAGCATACCAATACCCCCAATTCATATCAAACAACCCCCAATTCATCACAAACAACTCCTAATTCACCACAAATCCAACCAAACATCCAATTAATTCTTTAAAACTAACAAGTTCATCTAAATATCACAATTCAAAACCAATCAAAAACTAAGTAATTACAACAAGTTCGAAAATTTTCATTCTAATTCAAAACAAGTTCTATTAGTCTAGTTCAAAGTATATCAAAGTATTGGTCAATGGGTATTTTCTACAGCATCACCACTATCTGATGAACTTTCATCTACAAGACGGTAAGAATGGTCTTTTGGAGGATGGAAAGAATGATCACGTGGAGGACGGGTAGAACGATCACGGGGAGGACGGGAGAAAAGATCGCGTGGAGGTCGAGCCTCTATCGATGACTCACGAGATGGGGGCAACGGAAAAGCTCCAGTAGAAAGGAGAGTTCTGATCTGAG